GCGAGGTGACGGGGCGCGGGGCAGGCACCAGCACACTGCCGCCGCCACGCTCACCTGTCTTTTCCTTCCCCTCTGCAGGAGACGAGATGAAGGCGACGGCGCTGGAGCCGCGCACAGCACGAGCCAGTGTGGGAATGGGGCCACGAGGGGATGATTTTTAATTCATGACCGGCCTCGCCGAGAGCTCGGTCCCTTGTATATAGGTTTTTGCAGAGCCATTGGGTGTAGTTAGGTGGGTGAGGGAGGGATGAGGATGGTCTGGAGCTATGAGGATGCTCAGGAGCGACGAGGATGCTCGGGAGCGATGAGGATGCTCGGGAGGGATGCGGATGCTTGCTGGGGAGGGATGCCCGCCCAGCTCAGCACCGCCTTTTTGTCTGCTTTTTGCTAGCAGAAAAATCCTTTTGTAAAATGACCAATAAACTCATTTGTTAAGCAGAGCCGAGCAGCTCGGGGGCCCTGTGTCGCAGCGCACACTGGCTCTCTGTTTCGGCCGGGAAACGGCTCTTTATTTCCAAGCCGCACGTGGGTTAGTACGCGGGAAAACACAGTGGGATTAGTAGTGGCTGAGGAAACTCGAGGTGGAGTGAGTCCGTGCCATGGTGCCAGCTGTGTTACATCCTCCACACTGGTGTCCCTCTGCTCCTCTCCCTCCTGGGCCCAGCGACGGCGTGCGGGGCCCCAAGCGATGGCATGGCCCAGGGGCTGCCAGCCACCAGCCCGTGGGAACCTGGAAGGAAAGGATTTTTGGGATGCTGTGTGACCCTGGGGGGAATGGTGGCATGTCACTGAGGGGTGGCTGGCATAGGGTAGTGGATCCCTGATGGCTGTTGGGGTCCCAAATTCTCTCCCTCCTGGGCCCAGCGACGGCGTGCGGGGCCCCAAGCGATGGCATGGCCCAGGGGCTGCCAGCCACCAGCCCGTGGGAACCTGGAAGGAAAGGATTTTTGGGATGCTGTGTGACCCTGGGGGGAATGGTGGCATGTCACTGAGGGGTGGCTGGCATAGGGTAGTGGATCCCTGATGGCTGTTGGGGTCCCAAATTCAGCCCAACCCCAGAGAGACTGATGGGTGCCCATCAGCCTGGCCTCAGGGCGCTGCCGTGCCCAGCCATTGCTTACCGTGCCAGGGATGTGGGAGGGCCCAGGCTGGGCTTGGTGCTGCCTCGTCCTCCTCA